TAAAGAGGCAGTGAAACAGCAAACTGTTTTCATGTTTCATATATCTGGTTTTAGATCACTGGACTTTACCCCCACCCCACCACACATTGCTAAGAGGCTGAAAGTCAAAGTTCATTTGAGCAGGTCGACCTCCTTGTCCCTCTTCTTCTCCAGCTCCTTCCTGTGATCCTCTGGAAGACCTCGACACTTCCTGTCCATGTGTGTATGTGCTACTTTGTATTGACAATAATCCTTTAACCTCCTGCGCTCTGACAAACAGTGGTCCTCTTGGCTCTGCTTTGCATTAACCTCCATATTGCCACTTACCAGAAGCTCGTTTGATTTCTGGCTTCACTTACCTCACACTCATTTTGTATCTGAGCAGCAACACTGAACAAACTGATTCCTCTTTTAAACCCATGGTGTGCATGTCAGTTGTCAAGTGCATTATAGTCATAGTCTCATTTTTCAGAGGCTTCCTACAGGGAGAAAGTGCTCAGTGGTGAGGGCACTGAGAGGTTAGCAGGAAGGAGCGTGATATGTATGGAAAGAGATTAGTGCCAGAATCATTTTGAGGAAGTTATAAGCTGGGTTTCAATTCAGGGGCCACATCCTTCAAAGGATGCGGTCTACAAATGTGCGACCACAGTAGTCATTGTAGACCGCAAAGGCCAAACCAAGATGAGAGGGTCTACGGAGGATTTCCCATTTACATTATCAACTGTTCCTGCCTTTACTGCTGTATAATGATGTGCCACTCCTGTTGCCTAGTAACCTTGACAGCTGCTCTGTCGGCATACAAGGAATCTTGGGATAGGCCACACAGGATCCACCCTTCACTGCCTGGTGAAAGGAGGACACATTTCTTGGCTGCATTTGAAGGAGCCTTTCAAAATGAGACGGCCTTGTCACAACGCAACCTATCTTCAAATTCAACCTTTGAAAGACATGTCCCCTGAATTGGGACACAGTTGTATGATCAGTTATTGGACTCAGCGCAAACTGTATTTACTCTTCTTGTTATATTGTTTTTATCAGTGACGGGAGGGTCCCGCCATAAGTGGCTGGCTGCTAGTTGTCTAGCAAGCTCCACCTCTTTGCCCATTTTTGGATTACCCGTAGCAGACGGAGTGGAGCGCTACCAATATGGTGACGGCCAAACTTGAGCTTCAAAATTGCTCTTCAGAAAACCAGTGGGGGTTGTCAGGGTGGGTTTGTCCATCTTTTATGTATAGTCACTGGTCTGAACCTGCTCATTCACTCTACATCAGTGTGGATAGGAGTGTGGGTGAACTGAAAAGCTGACTAACTTTCTGTCAGCTTTAAAATACAGTATGTGCTATGCAGCTAAATGATCGCCTGCACTCACCTACGCAGTCGCAGCACTCTTCCCAAAGGTTCCCCAGACAAAGCATGCACTCTTTACAGCAGGAACAGTTCCCGTCAGATGGACGACACTGGCACAGCTCCTGGGGACACACACACACACACACAAACATGTATCAGAAAGACATAAAACAGATTGCATAATGTGGAAGACACCACACAGAGATCATCGTTACTGATCCTCAACCACTGTCCTGACAAATAGACTGAACTGTCACTGTGTTTCACTTCATCACAATCTGAATTGCTGACAAAAACATATTCTAGATGTAGATGGAGTTTGGACCTGGTACATGACAACTGCAACATGATGATTCTACTTCATATATAACAATAAAAATAAAAATGAAAAAGCCTCAATTTCTCTGGTCGTCTTACCTTGCTAAACTCAAATATGTAGAAAATGAGTGAAGCAGCAATCCCCATCTGTGCCATGAGCTGGGCTTACAGATGTGATTACGCTGACAAAATACAGAAATGACCACAAAGCAACTGTAATCCAAATACTTGGGAAGAGTAGTGCTGTGTCAGAGAATAATAAAACCCACTGTATGTAACACACCTGGGGTCTCTGATAGAACAAACTGGAGAATTTTCTGTAGCAGGTAATCAGTGCAAAATCATGTTAATAAGCAGCTTTTAGAGAAGGTTAGAGTTAAACGATATCATGAATACAAATAACCACCTGGTTACATGTTAAAATAAAACAAAGAATCATTTTTTAAAACAAAAGATCTAGGTCTGATGGGTGCAGTAGTAGCATCAGTGTTACAGTCATAGTAACAGTATATAGCAGAGAGACGATGTACCATTAAAACATCAACAGAAAGAGTGGTGGCTGGTTTGCTTCATGCACACTGTCTATTACAGGACACAAGCTGTTACAAGACAGAGCAACTGCTGCTACACATGGCATGTGTGGCATCTACCCAGGTCTGCTATCATCTACGCAGGACAGAGTGATACAACACTGTAGACCTCCTCTGTGTTTTCATACACATGCAGAGCAGGTACTGACATGTTAAAGTTCACAGCATTGGGATGATTTTCTTGTACACTCAGGTTCAGCTGGGAGCAACATGTCAGAGGAGTCCTCAAGTCTTTTCAGATAAGATGCAAGATGACGGTTTCTCAGAGCTGAATGCAGACTCTTAACATTACGTGGTATTTGAATATTTTCCTTCCAAAACGATGTCAGTAGTGTTTTTCTTTCCACAGCTGATATAGCTGACACCACCACCATTGAATGCAGAGGCATAATAAATAGATATTCAAGCTGTGTGACTATATAAAGCCTGTCCGATGCTGCCCCGGTATCACTTATTGCTCCCGGATTACACCAGTTCAAATCCAGGTCGAGTCATGTCCTTAGAGAGTCAAGATTCAGATCCTCATTTTACAAATGGTAATTCTGATCTACTCTGACTCATTTTTGTTGTTGTGTCCATCATTCCTATCTCTAATAGTAACATTTTACTCACCAAATGAATGAAGTTCAAACAACACAATGCTACAGTCCACAATAAAACCATTGTTTAAAACACAACATAAAAAACTAAATAGTACACAACTAAACTATGCTACTAGAAACGCAAACAAAAACATCACTAAAAAGAATTCAAACAGGGAAAGAAACACAAACATTCAGACACTCACACAGGCTTTACACAAATTCCCGGGTTACGCAAACATATGTGTGAGAAAGAAAGTGCTGCCCGCTGTACATATCTCACTTTTTATCAAACTTATTACTGGGCGTGTATACATATATATGTATATACACACAAACTGTTGACTTGTTTATGTCTGCTCCAGTTTCCTGTCTGATTTTGTTGTAGAGATACTGTTGTGTTATCATAACTGAAGGCAACAACTGCCAAAACTACAAAAACAACACCTTAAGGTGTCCTTAAAGTGATTTTTATGGTATTCAAAGTCAGAGGTAATCATTTTATCCAATTAAAAATTGATTATCTTACAGCATAAGGGCCTTCCTGAAACTGGTGCACTTTAGTTAGTTAGTTAGTATTTTCACCTGGTAAAATTGGAAACATCATTTGGCTGTTGTTGATGAATTTATTTTTTACTTTCAGCAGTCTGATAAGTATCAAGCCCTGGCCTCAGAGCAGAGAAGTAAAAGTCTGAAGTTCTAATTTCTGTGACTCAATTGGAGAAGTAAAAGTCTGAAGTTCTAATTTTTGTGACTCAAACCTGAGGATCAAGTCTGTAGCTTCGGCATGTCAAGCAGTGTTTAACTGTACTTTCATTTGAACGGGTTTAAAAGAAACTCTTGTGAATACAGATGTGGTTCACTGGATTCATGTTTGTCCGAAGAAAAAGCTCTTGCAGTAAATTTCTCATGCTGCTTTTTAAAGAAGGAAGGTAATATTATTAGAAGTACCTCTGCAAACATCCAACAGCACAAAACCTCTGCAGATCCCGTGATTACAAAGTCATAAAACAGCTTCATTTTTCAGTTTCAGTACAGCTCATCCCTGGGGTCGTGGAGACAGTGAAGGAAACAAAACTAAAAATGTGTAGGTGGGTGAGACTGCCAGAAGAGCTCCTCTTTCTTCCCTCTGAACAGGGAGCACATTCCTCCAAGTCAAGGTCACTGCAAGAAGCAAGAGGAAGGAGGGAGAAGAAAACACCTGGAGAACAGAACATGGCTGCTCCCTCCAACAACACACTTTCCTCCTCTGTCCCTTGGTTTTGTTTCTCCTCCCTCCTTTTTTGAACAGTCTCACCCCTTTCTTCCCTTTTGCTTTCTTTGCATTTTTATATTCCCCCCCACCCCCCTTATTTTCTAACTTCCCTGAAGCCATCTACTACACGTAAACACTCCCAGCAAAAATAAAAGACTCTCCAGTGACTCACCAGTGAGGGATTGCAAAACCACACACAGCTCACTTAATCACTGGCCTCTCGATCCCCAAACCTCTGATCAAGACCTGATCCCATGAGTAATTATGACTCCCAAAGGTGGAATTATAGAACACTAAACAGCTGCCTGGGGGGAAACATGCGTCTCACATCTCACAAATCAGAAAATAACAGTTTTCTCATGGAAATAGAAGATGTTTTACTGTGCAGACTCTGGCTTTGCCCAGAGCTCCAAGATTTCGGTGGTGATGTGCAGAAAGACAAAAAAGGATAAACTACGTGGCCTGCTCCTCTGATTACCGTTTAATCATTTTGAAAGTCAGTCACTGGAACCTTCTCTTGTTCAGGCCTTAGCATCGGCTGCTGTTCTTTGTTTTGTAAGTAAATTTAATCTTTGTGTTTTGGGATGTTAAAATGACAAAATAATAAATATGAAGATGTCACTTTGCTGTGGAAACATGTACTGGGGATTCTGACCTTCTGGATAAAAATGCATAACAGTAATTGACTGGTTACAGGATCTTGTCTCGCGTCCTTACAAGCTGTTCCTTTACTGAGGTGGATGAGGTTGTCTCACCCACTTAAACAGCTCGTTAGGATTCCTGTGCTACAAAGCAGAAAGCACTGTAATCAGTCAAACCTCAGCTCCAGTGAGACAGAAGGACTCCGGAGAGAAAGTGAACGCGCTGCCACGTCCTGCCGAGTGGCCGCTGCCATGTGTTAACTTTGAAATCTGCTGCCCCACCCTGCTAAACAGCCTGGTGTGGACAGGCTTGGCTTGTGAATCCCTGCACACTTCACAGCCACCTAACTGTATATTTCCATGAACCAACCTCCCCCAACAGACATGCACACACCTCCCTCCGGCCTCCTCTTCTCATGTTCTCCCACCCTCAGGGGTTTTGGGGAATTCAGACAAATGACTTGAGATGGCAGCAGAGCGTAAAAGTGAGCATCAGACAGCAAATCCCACTAATCACAAGCAACACGGCGTTTCTATAGAGAAGCTGGAGGCGGAAAAGTTTCTCCTTCACGGCACGCACCATCGCTCTCGCCTCTGACAGCTAGCGAGTTGGTGTCAGTGGGGTCACGGAAGCTAAAGAGCTTGTTGTGCTGAGCAGCAATTCATCTGGTGAAATAAGCCACTTGGAAGTAAAACAAAAATGGAGCCGCAGCGTTCTGCTGATAACAGGAGGTTTGAATTTTTACAAATACTGAAGCCAGAAGGAACAGAAGTTATTGGTTGGAAAGCATAGACTGTAATACAGCATTCACTGGGAAAATTCAGGCTGTAGAAAAAAGGCCCAAAAATAAACTTAAGAAATGATTCATCAATCGTACATAAATCTCTTGGTGAAAAATGTTGAAGCAAAAACAATTTTTATTTACATACAGAGCTCAACTACCTGCAGCTCACTGTGGCAGTGACTAAGGTCGCACAGGTGAAATGGCCACAGAGGTTAAATACTGTACTCTAAAAATGTTAATGGGAGAGGCAGGGCCACTAATCACACATACACACACCCCCACATGGTGGAGGACAAGCAGCGGCTCAGATTGAACTTGACAGGTGGTGGAACGACAAGCCGACACCTCTTTTTCCTTAATTTTTTCCTCAAGATAACAAGAATGCATGACAGAATTTGTGGTAACTAGAGTGCACCACCCCTCTGGCCGTCACCCACTGGGAAAATGTGACACAGAGGAAATGATGTTAGAAAGTCAGAAACAAGGCAGAAGGGCTGACAGAAAAATAAAGCAAAGAACTTTCCAGCACGGTCTCCTGCTCCAGGACAGCGTCCTTTGGTGCAGGTTGACATGGAACAGGACGGTCACTGTGAATGCATCACAGCTCTGCCTCTCTGCAGCAGCTCTGGGAAAACCTTCTCCTCCTGACTTTGCTTGGTTTATCAAAAGAATGCATCAGCATTTTTTTACAGAAGATTTCATCTTTGTACTCGAGGCCAAATCTCCATCTTGTTCTGGATTCAGGCCGATTTGAACTTCACTGGCTACTGCTGGGTTTTGTGTTTTTATGAGAAGTATTTGTATAAAACTGACACACACGCTTCAGGACATAACAACAGCTG